GTAAGGGCATGTGTTCATTTTGTTTCAAAGCATTCATCACAGTGCGGGCTCGCTGTTTGGCATGATTCTCTTCATTCCCTGAATAAACCATAGAATATAATCAAATTGGGGGGTACCTCATGCTATTTCCCAAACCTAAACTATGACACAATTGTCACATTATATTCAATGTCTTGTACACTAATTAACGTTTGCTAACATAAACATTAGTTTATAAGCACCCTAGTATATATTCTGGGGAAACTAGGAGATACAAAATTTAAAGTATAGCTGGTATTGGTTTGTTTCCTTCTGACTTTTATCTTTATAGTTAACAAATTATTAAAGTCAATTAAATATTTTTTAATAATATTGAAGCCACCACCCAAAGATATTATGTAAAGAAATCTAACACATTTTTATCTCCCCTAAAAATTTGTATTTCCCCTAATGTTTGCTATGGTTTATGTGAATGAAAATTTTGTGTTTTTTCCTTAACAGAAGCTTTATACATGCTGTTCTAAATTACAGTGCTTAAAGCAAGATCCAGGCAAATCTTTCTCAAGCAGTTAAGTTGATGATTCACTTGTACTGGCAGTCATGTCACTTTGCTGGCTAATTAGCAGAGTAACTATTTCCTCTGTGAGCTTTCAAGAAGTTGAAGCTTGATAATGTGTTCCAAATATTGGCCTTGAGTGCTATACTAAATCTGAACATTGAAATTGTTGCCATAGTACATATCTTTTACTATGACAGCCAGAAAGAATTTTTTTTCATTCCCAATTTTCAGTTGTGATCTGAGACCCACTAGAACCTAAAATGTTTGAGAACCAATTGGTTAGACCATTAAAAGTAGTATTCTGTGAGAGCCATGACCTTAGAGCAAATTAGAAAGAGAAAGAAAAAACCTGTGGAGATTTCCGTGGCGAACCCTACCAATCAGTAGATTGAAACTGAATGTGGACTAATTTATAGATATAAATGTATAGTGTTCTTACCTTATTTGACCCCCATAAGTCCTTACTTTATTGTAAGTGTAGAAAACAAGTGAATTCCAGTGGCAAACATCCTACGTAGAAGTCTCTTCTTTCGGCTTTCTGAGTGCACATTTTGTCGTTGTGAATGGAAGCAAGTATATGATGTCAGTTATGCTTGTGGTCACCCGTAGTACAAATAGATATAATACTAGATGCAAAATAATCTAAGCAAATTATAACATTTGAGTGCTCCTATGTTATTTGGTATTCTGACCAATGTAACTAATTAATAACATAATAGCCCTTTTAAAAAAAACTGTGGTACTGTAAATTACAAGTGTGGTACTTATTACCAACCGACACAATGAATATATCTTGCAGTAGTTATTAGTCTAATCCCATTAATTCAGATCTTAATTGGAGTCATAATGAGTTGAAAAAAGATGATGCTGATAACTATAGATATTAAAATTTATATGTGCTTTATTATTTTGAAAAGTATATGATATGAATGCATGCCCTAGTGAAAGAAACTGTGTAAACACTTCGGAACCCCTCATTTACATGGTGACAACTGATATTTCTAAGTCTCTTTTTTTATTTAATTGGTTCTAAACACCTTTAAAAGGGTATTTTGTGAAGTAATATCAATACTTTGTTATATTGTAATTCTTTTGAAACTATTCTTTCATTTAAACTTTCAGTAAGTCATACTGACCTTGTACTTAGTCTGTGATTTACAGTTACCTTTTGCATTTCAGTACCTGTGAACTGTTGGAGAAGCATATCCCTCCAATCACAGCTGTTTTAATTAGCATCTTTAGAAGGCTGTCATCCTAACTAGTATATATTCCTAGGATTACATAGGTTTAGTATCCACAATGCCTAGTATATAGTAGATACTTAGTTTCTTGATTATTGCATGAATGAATGAATTGCCAGTTTACCCTTCATTCTTTCAAACCCATGCTTAAGTAAGTTATCCTACCTCAAAGTTGATTCCAAAAAACCTAATTGAGAGTGTAATAACCCTTTTCTAAGACAGGACCTCACCGATTAATCTGTTCCTCAAAAGAATCACAGCCATTGAAAAAGAAACCAAGGAATTTCAAAGTAACTACAGTATTTGCTAGTATGGATTTATCAAGTCTTTACCTGAGTTCAGAATTTTTTGTGCATCCAGAAAAAGAAGAAAGAAAGAAAGAAAAGAAAATTGTTACCACAAATGTTGAAAGAAAATTCTATTGGTAAAATAATCTAATGACACAAATATTAAAATATAAAACATGTGTTTTAGTCAATAGTTTTCCTTTGCTTATACTTTATAGGAAAATATAAAAATAAAACACTAGCTATATTTGTTGTTGTTTGCTTCTAAAATTTTTTTCTTTTGGGTTGCCTAGAGACTTGAATGCTATTAAATTAACCTTTCTGAAAAAGATTGATGTATAAGCTATATTTATTTTGCTTTATGTAATTAATCTAGCTACAGTTTAAACCTGAGATACAGCTATATGTGTATGTGTGCATTCTTCTGCATCTGAAAAAAATAATAATCTTTTTTCCCCAATCTAGAAGCCACTAGTAATTAACAACATCATTACATCTCTATCACATCATTAATACAGTTCATGTCTTAATTTCTCAGCACACTGATATGCAGCAGAGGGTTGAAAGCATTGTTAAAATGTAGATAGATGTTATCTGCCCAGCTCCCTTTATCCACTCTGTTATCTCAAAAGAGCTGTTGTGTTAGCATAGCAAGGTCTGTGCCTTGCAAATATGTTCTATTATGCAGTCCTTTTCCTTTGAGTGTTCTTAAACCAATATCATGATTATATTTGCAAGCATTGTATCCAAGACAAAAGTCAGATTACTCACGAAAACTTGTCCAGGGTAACTACTTTGCCTTCTACCTTTTAAACACTGGGTCCCCATTCAGTGCTTTTCATGGCCTTTACACAGCTAAGTAGCCTGTAGTTTGAATATCACTAGTACGGTAGTGCGGGCCCTCTTTTTCGAACCATTTACTCTCTAACCTCTCTAACTCTTTCCACTTTAGTTGTATTATGTAAAGCCACGTTATTTAAAAGGCAACTGAATATTTTAAGTGTATAACTTTGTTCTTTAACACTAAACACTTTTTTCTAATTCTAGGTTATATTTTAGGAAAAATTAATAGTATTAAATCTATCTACTCTGTTTTCTTTCCTAGTCTTTGACGTACTAAACGGTTGACTTCTACTTGCACTTTTTCTCTGTATGTATTTGAAAATGTTGAGACTACATAGAATTAACAATTGTTTCCATTTTTATCCTTTTGATTTATTTTTGTATATTGAATGCTTTAGCATGACTGCTTAGGTTTTCTGATTTTATTTTTTTATTTAATATTTAATGCATTTAAGGGTTCTATTTATGTTTTAAGTCCAGTAATGGGGATAATAGTCTTTCTTTGCATGTTGACTTCTAATATGAATTTCTTATTTGTGGCATAAGTATAGTAGCTTTTTAATTCTTTCTCCCCTTGTGTTTATTCAAAATAGCTCTACCCATCTGTTAGTTTTCTACCTCAAATATTTTTGTTTCCAAAAGTGTTAGGCAACCAATTGTAAATTATTCATGGACATGGTGGACAGTAATAATATGAACATAATATGAGGTGGTTCAAGTCTCATTTATTTAAGTTAAAATTCATCAAACCTTTTGCCACATCTGATGGACAGGAGGGAAAATAGATTAGCCTTAATTTTATCTTTTTTGTTGTTAATCTTTTGGGGAAGGAGAGGGTAAAAGCACTAGTAGCTGAAAGAAGAAACAGGTGCCAAGCAATGTTCTAAGTACTTTACATATTTTAACTCTCTTAGTCCTCGTGAGCTCTCCGAGGTTGGTGCCTTTGTTATCGTTGTACCGCAGGGAGGATAGCAAACTAAGGCACGGGGTGCTTAATAGTTTGCTGTACAGCTAGTAAGTGAAGCCAGTACCCAAACCCGGGCAGTATGACTCCAATATACATTCTGCCTCTCTAAACAGTCTACACAGGTCACAACCCTTATAATCAGAGCTCAGATAATTATGATTCAGTTCAGTCCTCCTCTGTCCTTTGCCTTTTTCTCTGCATCTTAAGCATTTGTTTGCTCTATTTTTCCTGTCCTCAGATCTGTACACATACTAGGTTGCATCACTTGGGTTTCTGAGATACCCAACAGGTGAGGTACCCCAGTCAGAAGCACATTTTTCAAAGTGTCTATGCCCCTTTTTCATAATCCCTATCTTCTTTTTCTCCCTAGTGACCGGCTTGTCTGTATAAGATATTCACTTGTCAAATCCATACCAGCCTTCAGAGCCTGGACCAGAGCCAGCCCTAAGTATCTGGTTTCTTGGGTTCCTTTCTCCAAGGCCTTGGCTCTGCTAGTGCTTACGAAAGCACTCTTGGCACCAAGTCTTAGCTATACTCGGGACAGAACTGTTGCAATCCCTTCGTTCCCTCCCTTTAGTTCCCTGCCTGAGACCAGAGAAGAAGCTGAGTGTTTGGGGTTCTGAAGTATCTTTTATTCCTCCTGGAGACCCTTTATCAAGAAGGTTGCTATGCAGTTAGTAGGTGCAGAGTTATCATTTTGCAGTCACTGTTTGTTCAGTTGGCAAGTTGACATAAGTAGGTTAGACAGAAGTAAGATCGTCCTTTTTGGGCATGTCCGGCATTGGCTGCCCATTGCAGTACTATTTCCTTGTTAAGTTTAAATATTTGAAAATTTACCTTGCTCCCTCTTTGTGTTATTGTATTAGGTAGTTCTATTCCAAGATTTAAAATATCCCAATATTTGCTAATATCCCTTTAGCAAATTTTTTTCCTGTGTATGAGATTTAATAGTCCTACATCTTTCATAAAGTGGTAATTTGAAAAATATCTGAATAATGTTTTAACATTAGCTTTAATGTTGAAGAGCTGTTTCCTTTAAGTAAATTAATCTGCTTAGTTTGAATCCATTGCTTTAGTCCATATTTTTTCCTCAAGTTCTTATTTAGCCAAACATCACTCAGCAG